CCTTTAAACAGTAGCGGCAAATTATTTAAATGGACTCAGACCGAAAAACGGCGAGTGATGGTAAATCGCTTCAAAAATTGAATGTAATTAAAACCCTGGCCCATAACAAAGGGCAACTGTTTCAGCTGTAAATGTTTTTGCAGGCTAAAAAGGATATGACAATAACAACCACTTCATACATATAGAGAAAATTATGGTATAAAAATAATGTTGAATGATGAAACTTATTTTTAATATGTAATTACCAAATAAAATATATATTTTCTGAAAAAAAAACTAGGTACCGAAGTTGACATGAAGATTAATGTATTTTTTTAATATTTGTTGGTTTCTTTTTTAGTATTACTTTAATTTAAATAACAAATATTTATTTTAAAATACATTTTTGTTATTTTTTAAACTCGCTCACGTTTTTAAGGAAGGAAAAATTCTTGTATTATACGGACTTTCGAAGTAAAAGATTTTCTAATAATATAATAGTTAAGGCCGACATTTTTCTAGATTCAGGCAGGCTGTACTTAAGTTTCTCACAGTGCAGCGTAGTGGATTGCGTTGTCAAGACGACCACATCGACATCGACACCGACATTGGCCAAAGCAATTGACAAGTTTCCAGCAGGTAAGCAAGTAAAAGCAGCCAAAACAAAACGGAAAACGCTGAAAAACACCGAATATTTCGGCATAAAGAAAACTCCGCGTTAAAGGAAGGAAGCAAGGACGAGGACCCGCCACCTGCAAAAGGAGCGGAAAATTGCAAGACAAGTGTTGTGCGGATTTTCGCGGAAAACCAGGAAGTGGGCAGGAAAACGGGGAAGGGAAATTGAATAGCTTGAGAGGACTCGCAGCTGGAGAGCTATTTGAATCTGAATTCGGGTCCACGCAGCTGGCCATGGCCATGAACTTCTACGACGAGGAGATCACAATCAGCGGACCGGACTCCAAGCATCTGAGCAGTGTTCAAATGGAGCCGCGAAATGGTGGAGGAGGCCGAGGGAATGGCGCAGGAAGAGGAGCAGTGGGCGGAGAAGGAGGACCGGGAGACGCCACTGGAGGAGCACAAAGAGCAGCCGCAGGCGGGCATCGTCGAATGGTAGGTGGCAAGGAATTTATTTCGGTTCTTTTCGGTAATGAAAAATGATACGTAAATTGAAATGGAGACAGTCCAACTGTTTACTTGTATTTCCACCTAAGAGACAAAACAATGTATTGTATAGATATAAGGTTATCCTGAACCCACCCTAAATCGGGTTCCCCTTTTTGTCGTCTTTCCTTTATCTTATATGAAAAATTCGATAGCCTGAGTTTATTGAATTGTTCAGATTTTCGATTATATTTATTCCAATGTAGAATTCCCTGTTTTAATCTTATTTTTAATTTAAGGAGAGTTTATTACAGTTTTAGACAGTTGTAATAGTCAGTGTCTAGAAAGTCATTGTTGTTATTATATTAAATATAGTACATTTTAGTATTAGTCACATTTTTTTGCAATACCCTTATTAAAAAGTTGTTAATGCTACTTTTCCTCTCTATTTTTAAATATTCGGTATCCCCTTTATTTCTTTGAGACCACACTGATCTACCCTTTTCCCATTTAGCAAATGCAAAGCAACTCTACGGATGACGATGGCCTGCTGCAGGACATCATTGATCACGATGACGAGGCGGAGGAAAGCGATGATGACGATGACAGCGAGATGCAGTTGCCGCAAGGAATGACAATGGGTGTGGGGATGACGGGTCTGGTGCCAGGACCACGCCCCCAAAAGCGCCCGGGAAGCAATCGAAGTTCCAAGCAGCAGCAGGATGACACTATGAGTTCCGGCAGTGATGAGGCAGATGTGGGTGGAGGGATGGGATCAGGAGGTGCCAGAGGTGGTGCGAAGCTACCGCACCATAAGTTGACCCTGCCCATGAGGAGCAGTGCGGGCGGAGGTGGAAGATCGGAGCGACAGGAAGAGCAATCCTTTCATATGAGTCCCGATAAATGGGAAGAACTATCCTTACCCGGTGAACTCAAAGATCTTTTTCCCTATATCGTGAAATACACTCCGCAGACAATCGATACTCCGTTTCATCTGCAACCTTTTATCCCGGAGTTTGTGCCCGCTGTAGGAGATGTGGATGCCCTTCTGAAAGTCCAGGCACCCCCACTTTTGCAACCGCAACGGCAAAAGGAGTTGAACGATCACTTGGAGAAATTGGGCTTATGGTTGCTCGACGAACCATCTGGAACCCAAAGTGAACCCAGTCTCCTGAATATGAAACTACGATCAGTACTAAGTGGAAGTATGGGGCGTAATCCTCGTCATGCATCCTCTGCTTCTCTAGTGCCCACCGCCCGATCGGCCAAGGATATAGACAAATGGATCGCGGAGGTGGAACAAGTGCATATGACTCAATCCATGTACGATGCCCAGCCCAGAAAGGATATAGATGCTCTCTTGGAGGATTGGCCAAGATCTTTTGGCGATGAGGAGACCAAGAATACATTTGATCAAGCCTATAGATCCTGCCTGCAGCAAAATATATCCTTAGCTGACTATGTGAGAGTGCTTTGCGAGAGATTCGGAGTGGAAGGACCCTTGGAGACTCAGGCGGACTACATCCACAACGTCCAGACACTCTTTGCTCTCTACTTGGCCGCCAGTCAGGCGTGGGAATAGGATAACAAAATCACAAATATTTAAGAACCTAACATTTACTACATAACTAAACGTATGTAAAATTATTTTTAAATAAATTACATATTTCAGTTCGAAGTGAAAAGTAAATAACCGTTTTAAACAAATATTATGTATGTATATAATCTATGTATTTATTTTTATAATCATTGTTTTTTCCAGGGGATGACAATTTGTTTCAAAAAGTATTTACATTTCGTAATAGATTCTTTTATCATTAACTATGTTTCAAGCTTTTGGTTAATTAATCAGAATGTGTAGTATACAAATAAATGCAAAATATATTCTTATGCATTTATATATACAGTATTCAAATTATTTTAGATTATTTCTCAGTGCATCGGCTGGTACTGGCCCCACTAATAACGCTAATGGCTTCGATTAAGTGACAGCCAGACGGCGTTTGTTTGCCCCTCTCGATGGGGATGTCACCCTATTTTCCCTTTCTTTTCCGCTTTGTTCCAGGACCTGGCCTTAAATCGCTTGCAAAATGGTCAGCACATAACCTTGTTGTATTTGTTGTAATGGGGGGAAAAGACCACTGAAGGTGGAATAAGTCTAGTGATTGAGAGCAAAACGGTTGTTATGAACTAAATGGGAAGCCAATCAAATACTTACCTGCATCACATCTGTAAATGTCATATTCCGTAAGTGGGATATCCATGTTGCCAAGCTTACTTGAGAGGGCTGTCCACCTAGTTATGTGAGTTATAGAAAACGCAGTTGGATTTAAATAATAATTTAAGCTTTATTATACAATTTAAAAATTTTCGTTGTAGTTATTAAGAAACTACAAAATTTATTTTGTAAAATATTTTTGAACTTTTAAAGAGAATGTTTCACTTTTTTCCTACAAAAATAAAATTCCATGAGTCATAATTTAGTGTTGTATGCTCTAATAAAAATTACATTTACTTCAACATATTGTGGGCTTTCTTCATTTTTCTCTACTTGCCAGCGGGCAGTCGCGAATGAAATGAAAATGTCTCGAGGGCGGCAGACAAGCAAGTTGAATGATTTCAGTTTCCCTCTTTCTGTTTAACATAAGTCCAGATTATTTTTAAACCGGAGAATTTAATGTGAAATTTAATATTTTTATTAACGGAACAAAAGAGGAATATTAAATAATAGTCAACCGCCAATCTTTCAAAAAAAATGAGTTTTGTAAATATTTAAAAATATTTAATTGCATAAATTAATGTTTAAGGAAAACTAACAGTTTTATTATATTTAAAACCCAAGGTAATAAACATTATTGAATCTGTAAAGGCAAAAAAGGTGTAAGGATATTCTGAATCTCCCTCAGCCTCTGCCTACTTATGGGGGCTGGAACAAACAGCTTTGCCGGGTCGTCTATCCCACTTAAAACCCGTAAACCAATCACGCACTTCATCAAACACACAACAGCAGCAGAAGCAACAGCTCCAGCTGAACAGAACAGCCGGCGATGCCTAATTAGGCCCGGTTAAGACAACAGATTGACCGGGCCAAAAGCATGGGCCCAAAGTGCAAAGCTCGAGTCTGGCGGAAACGGCCTTAATTATGCGTAAGCCGTAAGGAGCCCATTAATGTCATTTTCGTTGCATTGCCAATGGATTGTGGGCGGAGGGCGTGACCATCGCATGTTTGATCAACCGACAATTCGGGACTACACAAATCACGCAGATTCTGCAGGCGAAGGGATGCTTATATTTATGTGTAATTGTATTTGGCCAATAACAAAAATTTCATATATCTTAAGGAAGTTTTTTTAGGGAATAGTATTTTTTAACTTAATATTACCTATTAGCTATAAACATAAAAGTGATTTAGGAAGGCATTTGATCTCTTTGCAAATCTATTTTATCTAAGCTGACAAATCGTTCCGAAGGACCTTGCTGCTCTTTAAGTTTTGTATATGTTTTTAGTGATGTTGATATTATGTGGTCAAAACTGCATATCTCAATATTATGCTATACTATTTTTAGTTAGAAAATTACATTAAATAAAAGACAATAAAATACAATTACATTTTTAATTTAGACAAAACCTATTGTTAAGTATTAGCAGAAGGCCAAGTTTAAATTGAGGTACTGTGCGATGGTCAGTAGACAAACAAGAATATAATAAAAATTTCCCGGTACTTAAAGAAATGTAACATGCATTCATAACAATGTTAATAGGATTTAATTTCCTTAGTTTAAACTAATTTAAAGTAATGTAAATCCATTATTTTACCAAATTTAAATTTAAATAACCAATTTAACCGTCGATAAAATATTTTACTTTGCCACTCCAAATATATCGATAAGACCATGAACGCTGTTCAACACTACTTATGGGCAGCATGGTAAATTCGACCACCATAAACAAAAGATAATTTGTTTATTTTGGGTAGTTAAACCAACCAAATGAATCGCCCCAGTGACTGGGACGATCCCCAAGGACCCTGCAGATACTGTGAGTTGGCGGTGGAGGATGACAACTACCTGGAGTGCCAGCAATGCCGCCGAATGGTCCACATCAAGTGCTTGCCACATGCGTGCACGCCCGGGGATCTTTTGGGCGACGTTTTCTTCGAATTCACGTGCGTCAAGTGCGTGGTGGACAAGCTGCAGGGATCGGCTGTGCCCATGTCCCTGGAACCCATAAAGGAAGTGTGCATACGCCAAAGGATTCCTTGGCTATTGGTGCTCACTCTAACCCTGTACAATCTGTCCATCAAACAGAAGGGTTTGGGCCACCACGGATTTTTTCACTGGCGCACCCACATCATCAGCTTTGTGGACAAGAACTGGAACTACATATTTGGGACCCATGTGTAAGTGTTAATATTAGTACTATTTCTCAAAAACCGCCTAATATATTGTCCATATGCAGACGCCGCCGTAAGCAGTGGACTGGCTCCGTATCCGGAGCTCTATCGCACAACAGTCCTGAGTACTTTCAGTCGGGATTGGATGTCTTCCAGGAGCACGGCTGGTGGAAGCTGGCCAAGCCGTTTCAAACACCCAGAAGCGTCCTTAGAGAATGTGAGCACAATCTTTTGGTCAGAAAACCATTGTATACATTAATAACGTATTTACTTTCTTCATCATCCAGACGAGAAAAAGCAACTGCAGCGGCAGCAATTGCGCATTGAAAAGCGTTTGCCCGCCGCAGACGAGACCAGCTGCAGCAGCGAGATTTCAGTTGCCGATCACAGCCAGGACAACAATCAGCCCTCCGGAGTAGTAGCTGAGACAAGCAATGCTGCAGAGGGCTGTGCCCGTACCATGTATGATCCCAAACAAATTTTATATACACTTATTCCAAATATCTCTCTATTTTTAGTCCATATATGGGTCGGCAGCCAAAAGTGCAGGCACAACCTTTACCCTTGCCGCAAGAAACGCTGCCAACGCCACCAGCTCCTCTTGAAAGTATAATTCCAACCAGTCAGGAAGAGGAGGAGGAACCTCACCATCAGCCTATGAGCATGGTTCAGGCAAGCCTAATGGATTTCCTGGCTGAGAGTTTAGGAGGCGATGATCTTAGCATGTTTGGTAGCTTACCAGGCATAATGCCACCTCCACTGATTGGAGCGGGCAAAAGTGATTTTTTTATCGCCGAACCATTGCTTCAGGCGCCTTCGAATAGTGCAGATAGTGGAGGTCTGTACGATATGGATACCAATTTCGATATTCCAACTGCCACGAAAGAAATCAAGGGGACTAAAGAGATCAAAGAAGAGGCCAAAGACGAAACCCAAACCAATTCAAACGAAGAAACCACCATCGAAAGTAGTGAGGAGCAAAGAGAAGTCGAGGAGGATGAAAATATGGAGGAGGAAGAAACCATGGACTATCAGCCACGCATACTGCAGGTTACAAATTATCAGGCGCAAGAGCCAAGTGAAACCATCAAGGAAGAGCTACTGGAAGAGGAGACTCAGGATGAAAATGACAGCATAGAAGCTAATTCCCCTTTCTTAGAGCCTTGCCAACCAAGTGGATTTGTACGCCAACCCCGTAGAAATTGGCCCTGGTTGCAGGAGGCGCAGGATTCCGATGACCTCGCCATTCCCAGCGAGAATCTCCAACTGATGAGTGTTTACGAGGAGCAGAAGTTATATCAACGTCTTCATCGAATTTTCTCTTTGGAGCAGCAATGCCAAATATCCATACCTGCCTATGTTAGGCGCTTGTATCGAAAACTCTCCCTACGCAAATGGAAAAGGGACCACAATCGCCCTATATTCAACCTCGATGAGCACATAGATCCCTTGGGAAGGGCTCGCTTGAAGATGCTGGGTCATCAGCAGGCTCAAATATTAGATAGATATCAACTATTGGCCCACTCGCGACAGGATGCAAGGAGCTCTTTTCATGCTCGTCTGGCAGGATGCACTCAGTACGAGCTCTTTGAGTCGCCCTACTCTCAGAGAATTCTCCACCCTTTTATTTTCCGGAGCGAAACGATGTCTCCTCCCTGGCTGAAACTCATGTGCGAGCTGCAGCATCGAGTAAATCGATCGCATCCCACGAGATCCACTATTGACTTTTGCTTTGTGAGACCGCAGCATATTCCAGCGGTGAATGCATTGCTACAGAGTTCGTTCTGGCCCAATATTGATGGTGAGATATACTTTTCTTTACCTTGCTTTTCAAACTTACTTACTTTTTTTCCTTCCAGTGAGTGAGTGCCTTAGCTATCCGGACTACAGTGTAGTCGCTCTGTACAAAAAGCTAGTTATCGGCTGTGGATTCCTGGTGCCCGATGTGGGATATAATGAGGCCTACATTTCCTTCATGGCCGTGCGTCCAAATTGGCAGCGAAGTGGCATCGCCAGCTTCATGCTCTACCATCTCATCCAGACGTGCATGTCCAAAGACATCACGTTGCATGTTTCCGCCAACAATTCCGCTGTGATGCTGTACCAGAAGTTTGGATTCAAAATGGAGGAAATTATCCTGGACTTCTATGATAAGTACATGCCACTGGACTCGAAGCAGAGCAGAAATGCATTCTTTTTGAGATTACAAAGATAAGACGAGTAAAAATACATTTTTTATCGAACAACTATTTCCAAAATGATATTTCGGATGCTAAGGCATAGCTCCCGACATATCAAACTTTATTAGTTTTTTGTTTTAAGCCTAAAAATAGTTCTGTTGAAGTTATGTGCCAAATTTAGGCGAATATTTTCTCCTCCCTGCGCTTTTTAGTGACCACCGTGCCGGGTTTGTGCTGCGCCTCCGGGTGGTTCATCAGCTCTGGCGGACAGGTTGAAACAGGACTTGCAGTGACACATTGCTTCAGATCATAGAACAGACTACTGTCGTCCTTGGTGACAAATGAAATGGCACAACCAGTCTTGCCAGCACGTCCCGTACGACCGATACGATGGGTGTAGTCCTCGATGGTCTTGGCCATGTCGTAATTGATAACCAGCGACACATCCTTGATGTCGATACCACGACCGGCCACATCGGTGGCCACCAGAATGTCTTTTGCACCAGATTTCAAAGCCGCCAGAGCGTACTCTCTCTGCTCCTGACCCTTGCCACCGTGCAATGTGCAAGAGTTGTAGCCGAGTTTCTCCAATCCCTTGGCCAGCACATCGGCGCCCTTCTTTTGATTGACGAAGATAATAACCGGCGGATCGATTTTCCTTGAGAGGATCTCCATGAGCTTCTTGCGCTTATCGTTCTCGCCCATCATGTAAACGATTTGTTCAGTTCTCTCCGTCGGCTTTCCTACGGATCCGATGTAGACTGTAGCAGGTCGCCGAAGATACGAGCGAGCTAATCTTTCTACTGCCGGCGGCATCGTAGCCGTAAACATCACGGTTTGGCGGTACTTCTTTTTGGTGTAGAAGTTCTCCATTAGCTTGGTTTCGTCCTCAGCCTCCTCGGTATCGGGTTTCAGGTTGGTGACGGGCATATATTCCAGGATCTTTTGGACATCCGGTTCGAAACCCATGTCTATCATACGATCGGCTTCATCGAGGACAATGTAGGTACATTGGTTGAGCACCAAATATCGATTTTCCAGCACATCGATGAGACGACCAGGCGTGGCAATGACAATCTCACAACCCAAACGTAGTCGGAAGCCCTGCTCCTCCCTGGACAAACCTCCCACAACGACCACAGTTCGTATGCCCAAGGGTTGGCCAAACTTGGTTGTTTCCTCCTCGATTTGCTGGGCCAGCTCACGCGTGGGAGCCATGATGATGGCATAGGGACCCTGATCCACATCCTCCAGACGTTCGATCTTGGGTAAGGACTGAATCCAAGAGAGCAGGGGTATGAGGAAGGCCAAAGTTTTGCCGGAACCTGTCTCAGCCACGCCAATAATATCCCTATTCTGCAATCCAATGGGAATAGCCTGTCTCTGAATGGGCGTAGGTTCCTTGTATCCCACTTTATCGATGATATCGATAATCTCCTTGGGAAATCCAGACTCATTCCAGCTCCTAATGGGATTGGGTATCCTACCACCCTTAATGGTGACATTGTAGTCTTCCCGGAAGATACGCCAATCGCGTTCGGTCATCTCATCATTTTCTTTTTCGGACCAGTGGCGATCATCCCACTTCTGTTTGTCTTCCTTCCGCTTCATCTTCTTTAAGCGCACTTTCTCCTGTTCTTTTTCTGCTTCGGTACGTCTCTTCTCCAGGAGATCTCCATAGAATTTGCTCTGGGTGCGCTTCTGTTCTTTGATATCTATGCCGGCAACGTTTCCTCTGCCAAAGAATTGCACATGATGACGTTCTTTGTAGAGATTATTGTAATCTATGGAGGTATCTTCGCCGGCATCCCAATCGAAAACGAATTTGCGATCGTTGAGGCGACGGACACGACGTTTTTTCTTGATTATTCCCAGGTATCGTTCTCTTATGGCCTCCAGTTCCTTTTCCTTGTCCTTGTGCGTAAGATCCTCGGCCCGCTTTTCGTCGCCACGTTCTCCACGATCGTTTCTATCACCCCGATCCCGTCCGCCTCCTCTTTCGCGACGATCTGGTTTGGGTGGCGGTGCCATGATGGCCGGCGGAGGAGCTCCCGATGCCATGGCCGTGCCCATGGAGATACTTACCTTGCTGGCCGCAGCCATTTGCTCACGGGCTGCATCGTGGGCGGCCCTCTGGCGCTCCACTTCCTCCTGCCGCCGCTTGATGGCTTCTAGTGCTCTCTGTTCCTTGGTGAGGAAAACTGGCTTGCTCCTGGCCTCCTCCTCGCGTTTTTTCTTGTCCAGTAGCTCCTCCAAGGAGAGTGGCTCCTTTTTTAACTTGTCCTCCCTGGCGTCCTGCAGATCTTCATCGTCGACTATTAAAGGTTTGGGTGGGCCATCTGCTGGATCCATCTTGGCCTTCTTTTCGACGCCACCACTTGCTCCTCCTCCTGGTCCGCCACCTCCCCTTTCTCTGGACCGTTCCCGGACATTTTCCCGGCCCCTTTGACGTTCGGGTGACCTTCGTCTACCGCGATCCTCCCTAGAATACAAAATTTGACTAAATTAAGGAATCTATTTCACCATAATTTCAAATAAAACCTACCGGGAACGCGACCGGCGCTGGCGTCTGTCCTTCTCCCTCTCATACTGCCTATCGCGCTCCCTCGCGCGATCTCTGTCCCGCTCGCGGTCTCGTGGATTCCCCACCACCGGTCGATCCTCCCTGTACCGCTCCCGCGATCGCGAGCGACGCTTTTTATCGTTAACCATCGTTGTTTTCCAAATTAATTGAAGTTTAATAAGCGTTTTCGGCTTGCAGAAGAGACAGCTGATTGACCTGTTTTGAAATAGTGTTGGAAAACGGAGAGGTAATAAATACCTAACGCCTTTAAAAAGAGTAACTGCCATAAAATATGTAATTCTTATTTGAACAACATCGTCGGATCCTTTTAGTCTTAGCCATATATTTTGTTGTTAAAACCAAAAACATGGTATTTTATTGTTATAATGACAAACAAACTTTTAACAGCTTATATTACAAAATTCATTTTTTTTGGTTAAAATTTTTGTATTTTTGCTGTACCATATTTCACAAAATGTTATATTGATATGTAATATATGTATATATATTATCATTCTATCAATTAATCGGCCAGGTTTTAATTTTTACTTCCAAGATAAATCGCACGAATTTTAATTTCCCAGACCACTTCCTAGACTGAAATCCAAAGGAACATTGCGGAATCTATGAAAAAGTAAGTCGCTGTTTTTGGAAGTTAATCCACATTTTTAATATTCAGTGAAATTGGAAATTGCAAACATATATTTTTAATGGTCTTCCACATGTTAAACCATAAGGTGTGCATGACAGCAGGTGCCTTAACTTTAGGCATCAACCCAGATTTGAGCAGTGACGTTGATTCCTTGGGAAAACTGGCTCGTAACATTGATTTTGACACTGGTGTAACCTATACCACCCACCGACAATGTAGAATAGGGTCCCGAGCTGTTGGTAAATCTGTCAGTTACATTTATGTACCGAATGGTTTTGGAGTTGGCCTGGCCCTATAAACAAATATATTTATAAATAAATCAGGTTAAAATATTTATTAGTTACTTGTCGCTAACAAAATACTCACGGCCAAGGGAAAACTAATTATTCCGTTCACATATTGATTGGCTTTCTTGTGGATAGTCAAGTTCTGGGTGCTGGCTAGCCTACTACTCGAGAGCTTAGCTCCCCAACTGGCATTGGCAGCAAAAGCAATGGCCACAATGGCAGAAAATACGAGAGCGATTTGCAGGGTCTTCATTATAAATTCGTACTTCACGATATGGAAAAATGCTCCGGTTGGACCTCACTTTTATAGAAAATTCCCAAAGCTTATCTATTTTGAATGGCAATATTATATTATCAATTCCCTAGAACGCCGACCAATTAACTTCATACTATATTTAGAGACAAAGATGGCTTATCAACAATATGGTTGGTCATCAACCGGTGATTCCTACTTGAAAGTCTTTCAAAATATTTATCAGCTCTCGATATTTTATTCTATCATGCGAAAAAGTTAAATGTCTGGCAGAAGTTGAACTTTTAAGTTTGTATATAATTTTTTAATTAATTTATTTAGTTGGGATTTTCCTGTGTAATTATTTTTTATTACCAATTAATTTACTATCATAGAATGGATTTTTTGTACTCATTCGAGATTGTCTTCTGATTAGATAAGTAATGGAGGATCAGGTTAATGCTTCAAACATATACTCAACATAAGTAGAGTTAAGAAACAAAATTATGTTAAGTTCATCGGAAATGGTACGTAGTCTTTTATTTTTTAACGATTTATGCAAAATTTATGAATATGTTCTCTCAGTTAATTTGAAAATGTTATTTGTATTTAACAGTTTTAAATGCATACCATTAAGGAAAATATTTGGATTGCGGAAATCGTCTAATATGTTTAGTAATAGGGGTAGAAATTTAAACGTTTTTACGACTTTATTTTCTGATTATTCATGCGATATATACTGTAATAAGATAGGTATTTCTTGGTATATTTCTTATTGGTATTTTGGTATATTTGAATGTGCTGTCACATTGTTAGAGTCATGGGCGCTGTGGGGGTTAAAGAGGTTTTAAGCTCCGCTGTAAAATAAGGCTAGCCATTTTATAGTAATCTAGGGTCCTGAAAGGCACATTTTTGAAAGACAATTGTGTTGTTACTAAATAGCATATGGTAGGAGAGCTAATGGCGACATTTGGGACGACCTTGCTGCTAAACGGACCCCCTTGAAAGCTTTCTAGTCCCCGCCCAAGTCATAATATTATTCTTATTGGCCTGCGACAGCTGGAAATTGTAGGCGTTCGCTTGAACGTCTTTAGTGTTTCCGTATTTCTCGAACGCGCACCACGGAGATCGAGATGGCTTTAGCGGAGCAGGAGACGGCTCCCATCGCAAATTCCCGGAACGGCCGGTCGGGCAGTGTTTTTAGGAGTTTTGGATCTCTATTCGGTAGCCAAAACAACAGCGATCGCCCGCAAACGCCGCAGGATGGTGATGGGTATGTCGAGTTTGGAATGCAAGATCCGGAACGAAATGGCCGTACCCTGGGTACCTTTGCCGGAGTTTTCTCACCGGTGGCTCTGTCCATGTTTTCAGCCTTGGTTTTCATCCGAGTCGGTAAGTTTGGCGATGACGTCACGGAACACTTGTTGTGATGGTCCATTGACCTCGGTCTTCCTCTATTTTGCTCTCTTTGTTCAGGTTACATCGTTGGAAATGCGGGCTTGTACATCACCCTGCTGCAGTTCCTCATCGCCTACGGAATTCTGCTCTTCACTGTGGCCTCTGTTTGCGCTATTTCGACCAATGGAGCCATCGAAGGAGGAGGCGTTTATTGTGAGTCACTAACTGATTTTTGAATTATTAAGGGCCCTAACCAGTATTCATAAGTAAAATTGATAATACCTAACAAACCGCAAGAGGTATTTATAGGAATCACATGACTCAAAAATGATACACAACTTATTTATCCTTATTTATAGATATATTCATAAGAATATATTTTATTTTTTAATGCAAGTTTATATACTTTTTAAGATATACAGAAATAATAAGGAGTTTAAGTAAAAAACAATATTTAATCCCCCCAGCTCTAATGTGATATTTTTATATATTTTATCTGACTGGCGAAAAGTTATTGACAGTGAATTCCCAAAGTCCCAATCGTAAATTAACGGCTTGTCAAATATTTCATGTGCTAATTATGTTTTTTTTAACAATAAACTACTTAGTAAATAACCAAAGAGATAGAACATTTATTCTTAAAAAAATATTTTTATCTAGTTATGATCAGTCGGACGCTGGGCTTGGAATTTGGTGGCTCAATCGGAACCCTCTTCTTCTTTGCAAATGTGGTGGGATCTGCGATGGCAATTTCCGGTTGCACTGAGGGTATCATGGATAACTTCGGACCGGGTGGACATTTCGTGAGCGGGGATCACACACTTCTAGATGGAAGATGGTGGCGCTTCCTCACCAGCAGCTTGCTAAATACTCTGCAGCTGCTGGTTTGCCTGGTCGGTGCTGCTCTGTTCGCCAAGACGTCAGTGATAATTTTGGCCACCGTGACCGTTAGTCTTTTCGCCACGTACATCAGTTTTCTGGCTGTGGGCCCCACCAACAATACGGTAAGATATCCAGTACTACTTGCACCGAAGAAAATATTAATTTATTTTCAAAAGTTTTAATTCCCATAATAACATTTCTTATATATTTATTTTATTATTTCAAATCTTAAATATGAATCATATTCGAAAACATAATTAAAGTGGTTTTAAGTATTTAAATGTATGTAAATATGTTGGATATTTTATATTTTCCCGCTGTGCACCAATCGCTTACCACGTAAAATCCCTGTCGCGCTTATCAATCTAGATGTGTTATCGATATCTAGGCTATCTAGGGCTCAATTTGGGTTTATTTTAAATATTTGTTTAAGGCTTTTCAAGGTTGATAAATAGTTGGTTAGAGTTGGTCAGAAATTTGCTTTAGAATAGGTTCCTTGATTCTTTCAATAATGATTCATAAAACTCTTTTTTATTACTATCTCTTAGGGGACTTAACCAAAATATTTTTCAGATAATAATGGACATTTTTTGGTTTATTCATAAAGGGAAAAAACCGGCTAATTAATAAAGATTTAGATTTTGCCAAAAATGACTTCAGGTTTAGTTACTTAGAATGATTCTCCCCTTAAGACTAGCCGATAGAACTAATTATTATCCGTTAAAAACCCTGTAGAAAAGAATTTAAGTAATTTTAATCAATTTATAATTGTTTTATAGATTAAGTGGGTATAAAATAATTAAGTCTAATTTTTGTTTAGATTAAATCCTCTTGCTGTACACATGTCAAAAACAAAACAAAAAGCAGAATAAGCTGATAAGGCAATTTGTGTCATAAAGAGAGTGCGCCGATTGTGAGCTCTTTTTTTTTACCAATCTATACATTTATACTCAAAAAAAAACCTTCTACAAAAATGATGTCTTCTATAGCCCTTTTTAACATAATATCTTTCCGCTGATTTCAGATACCCGTTCCAGATCAGAATAATTTATCGAAAACATTATCCTTTCTCAACTATACGGGTCTCAATGCCAACACACTGCGCGATAACCTCGGGTCCCACTATGGTGTTGATTATACTTCAAATGGGAAACCAGTGGACTTCTCCACCACCTTCGGTGTGCTGTTCTCGGGAGTTACAGGAATTATGGCCGGAGCAAATATGTCCGGGGAGCTCAAGAATCCATCGAAGAGCATTCCCTGGGGCACACTATCCGCCGTGGCTTTTACATTCGTCTCCTACATCATTCTATCTTTTTTGATGAGCTGTACCACTCCGTACTACACTATGCAGAATAATTATCTGTTTTTGCTGCCTGTAAATCTGTGGCCTCCATTTACGGCAATTGGAATTTTGACGGCTACCTTTTCAACCAGTCTGAGCAACCTGATTGGTTCCAGCAGGATTTTGGAAGCCTTGTCCAAAGATCAAGTTTTTGGCAGCCTCCTGAACTTTGTGATTCATGGAACTTGGAAAGGCAACCCTATCGCAGCGGTCGTGGTGAGCTGGTGCCTCGTGGAGTGCATCCTGCTGATTGGATCCTTCAACATCATTGCCCAGATTAACTCGGTGCTCTTCATGCTCTCCTATTTGGCCACCAATCTGGCTTGCTTGGGCATAGAACTCACTGGTGCTCCAAACTTTAGACCTCTTTTCAAGTACTTCACCTGGCACACTTGTCTCGTTGGATTATTGGGCACCCTGATCATGATGTTTGTGATTAATCCCATCTACGCCTCGATCTGTATTATTCTGTGCCTCATCCTGGTGATTGCATTGCATTTATTCTCGCCGGCCACTCAAGCAGCTCAATGGGGTTCGATTTCCCAGGCCTTGATGTTCCACCAAGTGCGAAAGTACCTGCTAATGTTGGATCCCCGCAAAGATCACGTTAAGTTCTGGCGTCCGCAAATCCTGCTGCTGGTCTCATCGCCACGATCCTGCTGTCCTTTGGTGGATTTTGTCAATGATTTGAAGAAGAGTGGTCTGTACATCATTGGCCATGTGAAATTGGGTGACTTCAAGGGCGTGGAAGATGCCGAGGAGAACCAGCAGTGGTGGACGTTCCTTGATCACATGAGAGTGAAGGCCTTCACAGAGGTCACTTTGAGCCGGAGCATCCGCGAGGGAGTCCAGCACTTGATTCGCCTGTCGGGAATTGGAGCCATGAAGCCGAACACAATTATATTGGGCTTCTACGACAACGAGGCCCCCAGGGATTTCTTCCAAAAGTTAGTACAACTATTTTATATACAAATATGGCACAACATAGTTATCAATTACCCCTTATCAGTGGTTCTTCCCCCTATAAAACCGACGACTTCAACAATGGTGAAATCCAAAACTTTCCCATTCGACGTGATGGGGATCCCAAACAATTCCAAGTTCAGGAGTACGTGCAAATCCTATGCGACACTCTTAGAATGAAGAAAAATCTCTGCCTGTGCAGAAACTTCCAACGATTGGACAAAAACTTTATATCCATGTGAGTGGGAGAGTTCAATTTAATATTATGACACCATTAAAATATACATTTTTTAATGCAGGAGCAATCATGTGAAGTTCATTGATGTGTGGCCCATTAATGTATTTAATCCCACATCTGGAGATCCCTTCGATATGGTGTCCCTGTTCATGATGCAATTGGCGGTTATAATGCTGGCTAAGTGGAAGCATCTTCGAGTAAGAATTTTCCTGTGCGAGGCCAGTGACGAGCGGACTGTGGAGTAAGTTCAATTTATAAATATGCAAACAGATTTAATCAATTACTTTCATTATTCTTCCCAGCACCTTTGAAACTCAGGCCCCTCAGATGGAGATATTCTCAAAGGTGAAGTTGGAGCAGTCCCTCAAGGAGCTGCGCATCACAGCCGACATTGTGGAGATTCAGGAATGGAGCCGGGACACCGATTTCAGCCGCCATGCCCGCACCCTTAAGCAATTTACTGCCCAAGCGGACAACGTGTTGTTGGAGGATGACGACGAGGTAGGCGAGGAGACGATGAATCGGTCGCTGCTCTACATGCAGCGAGCCAATCAAATTATACGGGAACGCTCGGATCAGACGGCACTATCATTCATCTATCTGGCTGCTCCGCCAAAGCTTGCAACGCCGGATTTCGCACAACGCAGCGCCAGCTACATGGAACTTCTAACCGAACTGACCGCCGAGTTACCGCCCACAATTCTCGTCCATGGTGTCAGTACGGTGACCTCTACAACGCTCTAGGCTTCGAACGGGAGATATTTGCATTCCTATGAGTGATAAAATCCAGAGTACAACCGGATTAAACCAATTGCGAGGGGGTCTTTCGATCGTTGTGTGCGTTTCTGTGTGCTTGGAGCTTTAGGCATAATCGAGAAATATTATTCATTAGGGTGGTGCGATGGATACGGTATAAAACAAAAAGAGATTTGTTTACGCTGAATATGCAAAATTTGTTTTAACGTTCATTTTATTATATTTAAAAGATTAATTCGTCGTGAAGATTACTATAATATACCATCCATTTTGTCTCACCCTATTGAACAAGTATTTCTCCAGTATGTTAATTTAATCGTGTAGCTAATTTAATATTTATTCGCACAGACACACAGAAAAATTAATATCGTCAAATCTGAATCATAACAATATTCATATCAGAGAGATACATACATTAAAAAAAACAACACGGACCAGCTCGCAACATATAAATGATATCATATTTTAAACTCATCCCCAACCGAACTCACACCGATATTAACCTATTTGTGATTAAATATATATATATCTTTTACCGCAAGGCAAAAAGTATTAGATAACCGCAGTAGTTTGTGATTGTAAAATTGATGATTTCATATTGCACTTAGTTTGTAAGCCGTTTTTGGAAGACCCTCACAGTTTTGTCGGACTTGTTTTAGAAAAATATTTTGTGTTTTTAAACTGTGGCTAACCGTGTAATATAATTATTAATCACAGCATTCATTGTAATCGGTTCTTTCCAATATTTTAAATAAAGACTTAGCGATATGTATTTATGTAAATGGATCATATGTTTTTTACTTTCTTCAACATAACAAAATATTAACCCTTAAAAATGTAGAAAAGCTATGACAATTACGAGGTTCCTATTGTCAAATCAATTCTAGAATTCCAACCCATAATATTTATTTACCAAAAGGCAAGCGGAATTTTCGCCAGTCTATGTAATGATATCCTATTCATAGTTCTTTTATCAAAGAATCCATTAACACTTTCCGCTTTTGGGTCAGGGGGTTCTTATCTTCCTTGAACTTTGTTTGTGAATCGTTTACCGCTACCATTAAATGCTTATTAAGATATGAGAGCGGGTCACGTGTAAAGAGGGACACTGATTGCCCAACAGGAGAATCGAGAAAATCAGGAGCAACGGCAGACGGTCAATAGAGTCATAAATGTCACCCGGAATACGGTCGATCCTGTTGTTGCACTATTTATGTGATGACAATTTATGATACCCTTCGGCGTCACTCTTCGGCTTGGCCCTGATTACCTGCCCATGTCCTTGCGAGGATCACCCTCTATTTCTGTTACTGTTTTCATCCCAATCAACGCTCAAGTGTCAATAAATTCCCATAAACGCACGCAATTGCCTGACACTTTTTAGGGCGCTATCCTTGGCAGCATAACGGACATTTTGTTGATAGTAAGGGTTAGTTGGATAAGTCCTTGTTAGGACCTTGAAGTGTGTCTTAAGTTATGGCATGAGTTTTGTGGAAATTGTCGCATGCGCCAAGAGATCTAAGAAAAAATGTAAATATTTATAAACAGACCAATTTTAAATTTGGAAATCACTTTGAAGAAAAACTATAACATGGGAATTCTATTTATTTCTATTTAATAAATACTAACTTTTTCCATAATTCGAAAAAAAACTGTTATGAAATTGTATATAATAATTCTTAACCCAAAGGAATTTCCTTCGTTTTCACGCTGGTAAACGGCTTAAGATGTCCTTGCCAGACATTCTGTCTGGAAATTTTTGCACACCTGTGCGTACTCAAAAATTCGGAGACCACAACAAATTTAGTTGGAAACAAACAAATCGTTGCATATAATAATTCATAATTCCAGATTATTACATGGTAATTATGCTCAGAACAAAGGAGACTAAAGTCGAGTCCATTTCTGACCTACAATGCGAACAAAAACCAGAAAAGATCGCTCCATTGTTTGGCATTGTATAACCAAGAGTGGGATCAACAAGTGTCGGGCAAGAAGAGATTCCCATGGAATTCCTTGTGACTCCGAGACTTCGACGTCTAATCGCATTTTCGCAATTTAGCGCCAACAACTAATCCGCAAAACGAAAACGATTAATCTGGCAGGGAAAACCCAGAAACACGCAACCGACTGACGCAGGCCGGGATTATCATCAGTTGTCCTATTGTTGGTCAGCATAAAAGAAACGGGTATAGAGAGGTGCCTACTTTCAACCAGAACCGCCCACCAACCAACTACCTATTGTTGCTATTTTGACAGGCTGAAGGAAAAAACCTCTCGAGATCACAGGTAGCGCTGGATAAAATGCTAATTGGAAATCCCAGGCCCTCTTTTTGGGGGTGTTGCCGATCTTTAGGTTATCCGCGAACCTTTCTCCCGAAAATATTGCAGCATAATGCCTGATCTGGGCCAGGACTTCCACTAAGCTGCTGTCGCGTGGCACTCCTAGTCCAAGTCGATCGATATCGATCCATCAGCGATCATCATCACCGTCAAGATCAAACGTCACGATCCTTTGTCGGCCTCGGGACTTTGTTCCTTGACAATTTGTGTGAAATATCTGGTCCATCTTGCAGTGGCAGTGGCATCATTTGTACTCTTTAGCCATGCCCGGCGCTTCTTCTGTTGGCCAGTGTTTTCCAATTGTTTTGGCCGTTTTCTTTAGAAATTCAGCGAACTCTTCGAATTGATTTTCCTCCTAATGCTGCGAGTCTGTGGAGTTAATTAACCTTTCGATGCGGCCACTTGAAAGTGGGCTTGAGCCGGGATGGATTTCAAAATGATTACGGTGTGGAAAGTAGAGCGCCTAAATGGATGTATATGGGGTGTGGGAGTAAAAGATTGTAACAGAATTTAGAAATAAATGTTTTAATGTTAGGAGGTGCTTTAAATCACATTGTTCGTTTTTAAGATTATTATTTTAGCATAAAAATATGAAATAAAACATTAAACATAAAATCAAGAAATAGTCATAGTCTGATGCGCTTTTAAGTTTTTTAATCTTCTTTATTCAATTTATTAGAAAAGAAGACAAACATTTTAGATAATATTTAACTATTTGAAGCACCGCCAAAAAAAATTTAATTTAAAAACAAAGTACGAATTTTAAATAATTTCAAGAGTTGGTAAGTTTGAGTTCTTTTTAAAACCTTAATATTTATATTATTAGTTGATTATATTATTTTATATAATATTATACCATTTTACCTTAATACTTAAAATTCTTAGTTTTGATACTTCCGTACGAACAATAATTTATCCTTATGGATATTTGATTGCATATATTTTCATTTCATGTGAACCAACGATGGAGGCTCGGAGAAAGCCACTTAAAAAATATCTTTTTACATTTGACCCAAAAAAGTATGTACAATTGCCTAAAATCGAAAGTCGCAAACCACACAAACAAAATTGTGGTTCTTTGTTCTGTCCCAATCAAACCGACACTTACTAGACCACAGACATGCAATGAAGATGATCCAAAGGGATCATTGATGCAAAAGCTTCTTTTTTGCTTGTTCGCATTCTGACCTTGGCAGCAATTGTTTGACTATAACGTCGATTTCAGTGCAAGTAACAAAAGAGGTATGATTACAGACGGTAGCCAAATGGCAGGTCAAACAACAAAAGTCGACCTGTAGCTGGATGCAGTAAATCCCTGGGGGAAAGAGGGAGAGAGAGTTGCAGGCAAGGGACAATTAAACGTTTTGACCGCAAGCCAATTTTAGGGCACGGGCTGGCATACTGATCCTCAGGAGGCAGATATTCTGCTACCTGAGAGGATCGGCTCAGTCCAAGACAACGAATCAGGTAGAAGGTATATAAATTCAACCAATCACGTAGGAGCTGGCTCATCGGAAGGCGGCTATATAAAGCCCGAACATCAACTAGCCACTTCAGTTGTCCTTTGAGCCTGAAAACGTAAACATGTTGACCAACAACGAGCTAATGGAGCAATTTTACTTCCCCGACGAGTCCCCAGCGGTACCCGAGTTCCTGGGCAACGATACCTTCCAGCAGTTGGAGCAGCTCATGTACCAGCAGGAATTCAGTACCAGCGATAGCCAGTCTGATGGGACCAACAGTTGCTCCTTGGAGATGTACTACGATACCCCGGCTGTCCTGGAATTGGAGCATATGTTGAGTGTGCAGGAGCAACAGCATCAAGTGAATCCATTGGGCAAAATTCAGGGAAGGAGTTCAAAGCACTGGAACAAACAACAAAGGAGTAAACCTTACGACAAGCTGTCTACCTCCATGTCATCCTCCGCGTCCTCCACTTCATCGACCAGCTCAGCATCGGCAAGTTTCGGCGGCGAAGTCCTTAAAAAACGGCGACTGGCGGCCAATGCTCGCGAACGGAGGCGGATGAACAGCCTTAACGATGCCTTCGACAAATTGAGGGATGTGGTTCCATCGCTTGGTCACGACCGGCGGCTCTCCAAATACGAAACTCTGCAAATGGCGCAGGCATACATCGGTGATCTGGTCACGTTGCTCTCCAGAGACTACTAGCCAGTTGGAGCACACTTCATCCTTCCTGTGTTGCAGCAACACTACTCTCGACCTAGTGGAAAACTTATAAAGGCTGTTAGTTTTTAATCTATTATTATAATTGTAAATAACTGAAAGCAATAATTGTCTAATAAAAATTAAGAGTTTTACATTTTAATTATGTTGATTGGGTTTTTGCATAATTTCATCGGGAGCAGGATTTTATTTAAATCTCTTTATATCTCTGGAAGTTTTAATTATTCAAATTTAAAACAAATAGGTTTCATTTTTTAATTTAAAATCTCATTATTTTAAATTAAGGGATTTGTAAAATCCTTCAGGAAGTTTTCTTTTGTAAAATTAAAAAAACCACTAAGGAAAAAATCTAAATAAATAAAATAAAAATTTAATTTTGCTTATTATTTCAGAATGTATTTAAAATTTAGATTTTATGAAAATCCATGTTAGTCAAACTTTTTTTGAACTCAAGATATTTTTGTTTAATTTGAAAGGCCATTTTATGTAAATCAGTTCTAACGACATTTAAGATCATACTTAAAAAAGAATAAAAATAAATGGTTAATTAATATCAGAAACTTAAAAAGTTTTTTTCCGTTATCCATTTATCAAACAAAATTTCTTCTAAACATTTGTTTACATTCGCCACACTTTCATCTCAGACCGAAAAGGGTATCCTTGTTATCCTCAAGATTTGAGCGGCATGGCTAAGTAGGGAGTGTGCCACACCCCCGAACCAGCAGCAAAGGTCAAAACATTAGTTACCAACAGAGAATTAATGAGTTCCGACTTCCGACTCAAACTGAAGGGAACTCCAAAACAGAAGTGATTAAATGCCGCTAACGTCAACAGGTAAACACTCAGGATAAACACAGTCGCTTCCTTAGATCCTCCGAACGGTAGACGAAAATTGATTTAAACATAGTCATTTGTAAATGCTATGGGAATTGTGGGTGGATCCAGGACCCAAACGGAAGACAGTGTTCCACTAAATAAAACAGGCAATGTCTCAAACAATACGTTTTAAATTTCGAATATCACATTGATGTTTGTATTTATAGAACTAAATACATAATATTAATTTAGCTTACTATATTAAGGTTTTATTGCTAAAGTCCAAAATGAATCTCATAAAATTGCTCTCCACTCTTCTAAGTCAATATGATTTCTTTGACTTATTACTAGTGACGAGATGTAAACAAAAATGTTTAAAAAAATTGATTCGTTTGTTCTAACTTATTTGGAAGATTGGTAAGACACTTTTTTCAGTAAACCGTTAAATATTTTATAGACATGAAACTTTATTGCGATGCTTTATAGCTAGATCATTTTATTGCCTTGCTGAGAGTAATATAATTTTGGTCAGTTGTTTTGTAACGCTGGGAGAATTCTCCGAACGTTTAAAGTATATATTTGTTCTAGATCAGGATTACTAGGCATGCCGGTTTCTTGCATTTGTACGATTGACCCACTCTGTTTAAAAGCTAAGGACAAACACATTTCTAAAGTGTCTTTGTTTATGGACAACAGAATCCAGCGGATCGGACGACTATATGCACTAGCTATCATGGGAAAGATTTGCTAAGTAGTGTAGATTTTGATAATTCTCTGCAAGAGCATATACACTTTGGCCTGCCTCCTCTCAAAAATGTAAACTATAAATTAAAATATTTATATATTTGTTATTTAACATTGACAATTAGTGAAGAGCAAGTAATTTTTCAACCATTCATTTTGGACTATCTTTATAACTTTTTACAATAATGTATATCTAAGTTAAGCACTAAGAACTATAAGCAAATGCGCATTAACTAGTAAATATAGAATTAATCTAAGCCAACACATTAAACTTAATTTATAATGAAAGTGTAAATTGAAAGTCTTCTCAAGTGTTTGTCTTAGATTCTCCCCTGGATGATGGCTACGGACGTTGACTTATTAACGAAAGATGAGTGAAGCCCGGTAAATGGATAGGCATTATTTATTATTTGAAACAAGAAAATAACTCAACGAAGCTCGTGGTTAATTTTATTTAACGTTCGCTTGTAACTGGTTTTATTTTTGATGCTTATGTAAAATTAAGTCAAAAATAAAACTTTAACTTTATTAATTTTACATTGAAAAAATTCAAAATCCTTAGGCAGGCAGTATTATACAATGAAATGTACAATATTTTCTGCCAACATCGTCTGCCCACCGCCCAAAGGGAAACCAAGACATTTGTTTGGGGTTAATGTGTTATCTGTTCTATACAATACACTTTTTTGTTAAATTAAATCAAAGTGAGATAGGTCAAGTCTAAAACTAGGGATTCTCTCTTTTTTAAATCTATATAATACGTAATTACATCATCCAAGCTTTACCACGCATGCGTCCGCGTCCCCGCATCGGACCGCCGGGTCCTCCTCCTCTTGGAAAGAATGGACGTGGTCCAGGCCCGGGCCCATCGAATCCTGGGCCAGGCATCCGTTGATAAGGCGGTCTAAATGGCCCCGGTCCGGGTCCGTTCCAACCCCGCCCTCTGCCACGCCCGCGCTGCATTCCATCGGGACCATTCATCGGTGGACCGGGGAAACGTTGAAAGGGCGGAAAGGGTGGCCCAAAGGGAGGTCGCGGGGGTGGTGGTGGTGCTCCACCTCCTCCCATTTGCATGGGATTCATTTGGTTCCAGGACTGCTGTTGTTGATGTTGGTGCTGCTGATGCTGATGATGTTGTTGGAGATCTTGCTGTTGATGCTGCTGCTGCTCATGTTGCTGATGTTGCTGCTGCTGATCCTCTTCATCAGGCAAAGGTTGACCCAGAAAACTATTGTTCGCCTCCCAGGGATTAAACTCCGCCGGAGTTTCCAGCAGAACAGGACGCGAAGGCGTTAAGGCGCCGTTGGCCTCGGCATCTGCATCTCCATTATCCTCCTTGACTTCTAAAAGTATAATTGGTTTTAAAACAAATTGATAATGTTTACTTCAAGAAGTTGGCTTCTTTATTACCTCTCAGTGACTCATCAATATCATCGTCCGACATATCCATATCAATCACCATATCAGCGGGATCATAGCGGGCAGCTCCATCCACGCGATCCGATTCAGATGAGGAGCCTGCTTGAGAGATTATAATTCTAATTTAGATTCGTGATAAAATATACTTATTATCGTACGTACTGGCATTGGATTTAAGCGGTGAACTGGTTTTGCTTTTGGCATAGTTATTACCAGGGGGTGCCATGATGCCTTCATCATTTGGATTGGGAACTATTCGGTAGTCCACATCTCCGCCGGCAAAGTCCTGAAACCAAAAATATGAGGTGTTAAAAAAATATTAGTCCAAACTGAAATAAGAGCACATGCTGTTAAACAAAATGTATTATTGGAAAAAAGGAATATCATTAATACAAAGTTTATTTACCTTCTCTGCTCCGCCTGGCGAACCAGTAAGCGATATTAAATTCCTGTGATCAATGTCTACTAGCTGCCTAGACTTGTCCTTGCTTAAACCCAATTTGGCCCCAAAATCGAAGGCTGGCGGGAGCTGCAGGGTGCGATGGTCCACATCCTCGGCGCCCAGCGCTGCGGAATTCGTGTGCAGATGCTCGTTATATTCGATTGGAGCGGCCGTCGAGCTGCCCTTCCTCTCAAAGTGAGGCGGCGAATGGGGAGTCGATTGATTCGCATACGAAGAGGAGCTCGCTCCACTACTATTTAAACTAGAGTCCAGCGGCGTCCAGGACATGCTCATATTCCAGGTGCTGTTGAAATCATCCGCTGATCCACTAGAAGGTCCAAGAGATGGTGGCAACGGTGGCGGTGGCATCGGCGCAGGCGTGTACTCCTGATTGCCTCCTCCGTTGCCAGTGCTACCGTAAAGGTGCGAGGGAGGTGGCGGGACATATTGCTCTTGGCTGCTTGAGCCAAACAGGGGCGGATTGGGGGTATACTCAGCGGATCCACCTCCGCCAAGACCCGGTATGGCGCTGCTGTCGGAACTGGAAATGGGCTCGGGCTTGTAGAAATTGGCACTCGGCACATAGGCCTCGTCATCCGATCGTGAACCTATCACCTCAATGGCACTTCCCCGATCCTTCGAGTCCCGCTTGAAGTCATTTATGTCAAAGGGGAGCTTGCCGCCATCTAGATAACTTGTGAAGCCATTCAGACTGCCGCCAAAAAGGTTCTTTTAAGAAAATTTAAAAATTAATTTAAGTGAAATTGATTTGGTATAGGTATTTGTACCAGTGGCAAATTGTTTTCCTCGGGCAACTGGAGATCTGCATCGCGCTCGGGCGAGGGAGCATTAACGTCTGGCGAAGGTATTGGACTGGCCAGGGTGGGTATGGTCTCGTCCAGCTTTCTTTTCACTATTTTGATGCGCGTGCCAAAGCTTTTATAGGCCTGTAAATTTTTAAGTTGGTTAAGACATTTAATTTTTTTTACTCAATTAGATCAACTTACACTGGCCACCACTTTAACTTCCTTCCCCTGATGTTCGTAAAACTTCTTAGCCGCTTCGATACTGGCTAGTACCGCCTTCCGGCTCTTAATCTCGTTCTGCAGGTTTTTATTGTAGGCATTGATGAAGGCCACGCACCGCTCCACCTCCTTTTCGATGTCCCCGGAGTGGCTCTTGTCCTTCAGCTGCTGCTTGATGACTTCGATCTCGAATGTCGGTGGCTTGGGCAGCTTCTGCATGCTTTTATCGGTTGTCTCAGCCAGTTCGACGCACTCGCGCACTTGGGCTATCAACGTGCCGTTCTGGAACTCGTCACTGACATCGATCTGGGATTTTTTGGGCCGTGCTATGTTGAGCAGGCCACTCAAGTCGCTTAGGTACTCCTCGTTGTAGATCTCCCGCTGCTCCCAGATCTTGAAGATTCGCAGGATTTTGTCTTTGACGCGTTCATCGCTGGGAGAAATGATAATTAAATTAGTATAACTTCGCAGAGGATAGACTTATAAACCCTTGAATTGATTTGTGCTTTAAATATTTTGGTTAAGATTGTGGAGGACTGCACCCTATAAATGCAATAAACAAAATTATATATTATTGCTGTTTAGTTTGACTTGAAGAGTCAGATTTCAGCTGTATTCAGTTGCATAAATCGGTACTTTATTAAGTGAGTTATTGCAAGGATCCAGTTCGGTCTCTAAAATATGATTGCGAGTATCTAATCATACGATATCGTATCGAACGGGAGAAACTTGATAGGCAACCGGGTACAGCTTTAGAGGTTTGCAATAATAAAGGGAGAGAGTTTCGGTGTCGTAAAGATCGTTGTTCTGTTTATGTATCCAAATTTTGAACTAGCGAAATTGTATAGGCAACAAAGTACAACTTAATACTTCAAATTATACAGTTTAGATTCGATCTCTATATTATGAATATGGATTTGTAGGTATTCATATTTACATGTGTATTGAGTACTCGTAATTTGATAGGGAATGAGGAACAATTACTAGATGCTTTCTAGTAAAGTTAAGAAAGTATTGAGCAAGCGAACAAGTATTGGTTTCAAAAACGTGGACTTCCGGCGGGGAATACTTACCGCACCATGGTGGTGGCTCTCTGGAGGGCTGTGGCCCAGCACTCGACGAACTCGTACCGCTTGCGCTTGCTGTACTGGATTACATCGTTGGCCAGGTAGAACAGCACCAGGCGGTGGTCCACGCGAACTGCGGAAGTCAAGGGAACCATTAGCTGAGAGAGCAAAGGATGCGGACCACCAAGGACTTGGACTCACCTCTTTTGAAGACGTTCAGCCAGCACTGGATGATCTTCTTGTGGTTCGAACGGTGTTGCAGGCACCAGTTGGACATCTGCTGGATGCCCTCCTGCGTGTCCTTTAGCGCCTCCAATCGCGTCTCGAAAAGCTCCTCGTCGAAGGTTTCCGTCATTTTAATAGATTTTATTTGGCGGTATCAGCACATTACAATTGTTTAAAACGTTTCTTGCCGCTGCCAATTTTCAGCGTTGTATTTCCACTTTTCTTCTTCTCCCCACACGCGCACTTTTTCACTCACTGAATTTTAGCTCTCTCTGCCTTTCCCGCCCGATTTTTCATCAGATTGCTAACACTTTAGGGGTACCGAACATTTTGCCGACCGTTTTCTACTCGTTTTTCCACTTAGTTTGTTAGATTGGATTAACAAATTCGGTTAAAAAACAGAAAAGTCCACTTTGCCTGGTAGAGATGTGTAAATGACGATGTTACTATCGATAGTAACAATCGACTTAGCGACTGCATTCACCGATGCTAGCGAAGATGTTCCTCGGTTTTCAAATACACACTCCATATTTAGCAAAGGCGTCCACCTAATCGGAGGGTATCGATTGAAAAATCGACTCTTTGGGTCCCATCGCTATTTTCGACGCTAACAGAGTGGTGGGTTTAAGTTTAACAGAAGCGTTTCCCTTTCTGTTAACGTAAAAACCTATATAAGCAAGCCGCACGGCCGGAAGATAAGTCCTGTAAGGATTCGGACGCGAATGCCACATAATTTGTTTTGATTTTTCCGACGCTATCGTAACACTCGTAAATTTTGCCGGTACGGTGAACGTTTGTGTTTGCTTTAATTTATTGATAACGTTTTGTGTTTAAAAGCAGATGAGATTTGTTGTTGTTGTACTCTTAAGATGCCGGCATATGGTGTCCTGATCAGAGATGAGCAAGTGAAAGTTATTAATTATATTTTAAAATATTTAAGACAAGGATAAGAATTTAATAAAAAAAAAGTAAATATTTCAAAGAAAAATAAATGATTATTTTAAAATACGTACACATAGACTAGGTTGAAGTTTAGTGCTTACAATGCGAATTTTCCGCTTGAGTTAGCAACAAGTGAATCATGACTCGTTCGTGATTATTTATTTGATTCGTGTCACGCTTACATCACTTAATGTCCTACCGCCTGCGGTTGTTTTGATTTTGTTGTTATTATATTTTATTTCGGTTAGACGAGTGAGCAACAAAAACTAATCAAAAAGTAAGGATATTATTTTGTAGGTAGGGGGAAGTAAAGGAAAAACACCAAATATTTGTCATGGATCCGTGGGATCTGCTTACGAATAAACACAAATAAAATCAAAGAAATAACAGCCTGTGTCCTTGTGCCTTCTTGTGACAACTCGAATTTCATGAGATTTTTTTTAACATAAATGAACGTAATATGCGGTTGTTTAGGATAATAAACCCTTTTTTATTTTGTTTAAATTACAATATTGTGGTTTTCAGTGTAAAAATGATTTCAATTTTCTTTAAATACGTTTTTTAAACAAAATTAAAGTAGTCATTATTATGCAAATTGAAAAAACCCAAAACATTTGAAAATAGCGATGAGCAATACTGACAAAATCTTATTACAGGAAGTACATTTTCGCCCAACCAATTGCATAGCAAATTTCTCATAGGCAGTCGGGAATTCCCCAGGCCAATCCCTTGCCAACTGGAAAATGAGCAAGGGTTCTGCATTTTGTTGCCAGCTCCTCTTCCTTCGCTGCCATTAGGGCCATGTAATTATTCTGATTACTTGGCTCAGACTCACAGACAGGACACCAATCACAGCGGCAACAGCAACAACAACGCCGAATCCCATGCTGCGCCACTGACCCAGTGCCAAGTTACGTGGGTGTCGGTGCCACTCCGTCCGGTCTTTCTCCGTTCCGTTCCGTCCGGCTCGGTTTAGGTTCGGTTCTGGCCATTTGACCAGCGACGCCACACGGCCAAGGAAATGCGCCGTAGCAAATAATTACGCTTCAATTGCTGCTCTCCCTTCAAGGACTTTCGTTTTGATTGTGTCCGGAGCTCAATAAAAAAAATTAGATAAACTAGAACGGAATTTCGAGTGGCTCAAAGTGCGGTAAAAGGAAGCGTAACAAGAAAGCAGCAATAAAAAATCAGAAGTATCTAATAAGGTGAGTTAAATAATTGTAAGCAATTTCCACTTATTAAGTAAATCTCTTGGGAGTTTTAAGTGAATAAGTTACCAAAAATCAGCCTTCTACATGTTTTCACTGAGAAAGGTTAATACTTTTAAGACTTGTTAGTGGTTTCTCATAATTTTCTTAGGTAAATATTTAATAATATTGCAGAAATACATACATTTTAATACACACAATTTGAGCCTATTTAATTTCTAATTTCTTTTTTAGAAATTGTGCCTTGACTTTATAAAGTTTTTGAGATAATGTCTTAATATATAATTTTACTTTGAATAATAAATCTTTAAATCATTTGTAAACATTTAAGATAGAACTACGCACTGCAATAAATACCGTTTTTCTAATCACAGAAATACGATATAAACGTATTGGCTTTCAGGCTTTATATTTGCCAAGTTATTTTCCTGCCAATCCCTTGACGTCTGACGTCACTTCCTTGAGCCCTAAATGCATGTTCGTTTCCCAGCTTCCTTTAAAACCCACACAAGCTCAACGATAATCACAATTAGCCCACACCTTTGGCGCAACGAGAAACAATAAACACTAATTAGAAGGCAATTCCGACGACAACATCGCGCTTTGGAAAAGCGTTGGGTTTTCCACTCGTGTAACCTGATTTTCCGGGCCCAAGGGCCTTCGTCCTTAGACACACGCACACACACATACTCATGCTGGTGTTTGACAATTAGCTGCTCGTTCGCAGGACAGAGAATTTCACTGGCGTTTTCCTCGCATTTCCAAACGCCACAGACTGCGTCGCAGTTTCATTTGCTTCCGGGAAAATTTAATTTCAATTTTCCCACAGCTCTGAAATTGTAACTTATGATTGTAAGTGAATCGTTGAATGCTCCTTCAAGTTGATATGCATATGCACAACGACGCATTTTCATTTGCATTTCCCAGCGCACTTTTCCACTTCAGTTACATTCCTCAACTTTTGATTTGTACGTCAATCAATGTCGCAGACACAAAAAAGTTTTGCATATTACTGAGCGCATATGGAGAAAAAGTGTCAACATTTCCGGGAAAAGAAAGAAAGGAAAATAAATATAAAGAGTGAAATAAATTTCAAATGGTTGCTATCAACCTGTGTTGGCAGATATCGACGTCATCGGCCAGCATCCCACGCTTTTTGGGGGGCAAAAAACGGAAAATGGCGTAAACAAGTCCCAGCGTCAGCATTAAATTAGTTCGACGGCTTAGGACTAAGTTAGTCATTTCGTACCCACTACATTTCGGGGTGTTCTTGGTTTTATATAGAAAAAAATAAAACCATTTTCTATATCAGTCAATAAAATTAAAAATTAAAAAAAAATAAATTTTTTGCGCGTAATAGTGAGTTTCTCCTGTAAGGATAATTTAGTTTTTCTTTTGAATAACATTTATTTAGTTTTCTTGCCGAACATTTAAGTTAATCAGATGGTTAAGACTATTTTATTAATTTTTAAATTTAAATGAGTTTTTATACAATACTTTTCTTAAGTTTGGCATTAAACAGTATTTATTTAGTGGTGTTTATCTATAACTTAAAATGGTTGTTTATGTTTATGTTTATTATATTATTATGATGCTTTATATTTTTTAGTTTCCTACAAAAATTCCCAAAAATTGAAAATCCATATATTTGAAAAAAATTAGTTTAATAAAATATTCTGTTAAAAGAAACGTAAAGCTGACATTATTTTGAATTGGTCTTAACGACATAAATCAAAGTTAATTTGTTTGCTAAGTTGTTCCTAAAGTCGTAAGCAAAGGGTAGCCAGCGAGTTCTTATTAAGGCCTTTGCCCCAGAAGATGCATTACCTTAGGTGGCCGCGGCAGTAATGACAAATGGAATGCATCGTTTGCCAGGGGACACATGATGGATGGCCACGAGCTCCTCATCCAGGCAATTGTGTCGCAGGACGGGAGCTCAGGGAAAGAGTCAGAAGCCACTTTGGCTGCTTTCTTTTTCATTTGCATGCATATGTGAGGACGACAACCCGCAGGGTCACACAACCAACAAAAACACACTCATTCAGTGACAGCTTGACAAAGGACATGCAGGGCAGGATGTGGGGAAAGGTCGCGGGGATACGCTCCCGTGGATGATGAGAAAGCTGCCGTGGCTGGCACTTAATAAGTCAACTTGGCTCTGCTCATTTATGATATATGACAATTTACTTTTGCCCCTTGGATGAAGTAAACGCGAAGGAGTGGAAAAAAAGAGGGACAACCTAATGTATCACATGACTTTTTAATCGTAATCACTTTGAGATAGGTTAAGGGAACTAGAACCATGGCGGGATATAACAAATTAGTAGGTTTTTCTGACAGAAGAGTTTAATAAATGAGAAGGTTTTTTTATTAGACAGTTAGACAAACGTGTTATTCTTTTGTCTGTTTGTTTAAGAATTAATTCATGGGTCTTCTCTGAATGGTTTTTTGTTTAAGGTTGTGTTTTTGAAAAACAAATTGACTTTATTTTTGCTAATAATCTCTGGAATATACAGCAACCATAAAATGTATTCAATAAAGATAAGTTTAGCCAACAAGTAGCAACAGTTAAAGACATTTGTAATGAAAATTAATATTGGCAATATAATTTTATTTGCTTAAACAATTTATTATATAATATAACATCGAAATCTATTACAATTCGTACCAAAAATCAAGAAAACAGTCATGAGCTAACATTTCTGTATCAAAATACACATTTATTTATCCAAAGAAGTCCTTTTCAAACATGCAACAAGATAAGAGCAATATATCTTGCTCATTTTTTTCTGATTCCTTCTGTGAGTTAATGAGCCAGCTCTCATTCATCCTGCAAGTCATCAGCAGTATTGTCCTGGTAATTCATCGCCATGGCCACGCCCACTTGGAAGCCGCCCTCATCGCTTGGCTTGCATAATTAGCTAATTGAGCGCTCAGCGTTAATGATTCGCATGACAACAAAAACGGCACCAAGAAAAGGGAAAATTGTAAGCCGCGTACTGGCACACAAATTGAAAATGGAAAAAACCCGAATGACGCTTAAAAAGACATTAGCTGAAAAATGGTTTAACTCTCTGGGCTCTACTAGAATGTCTTTCCCATATCCTGCGTTCAGATAATAACCGTTCTGCTGTATGCTCTTGTCCCACGCGACGTATACGCAACCTGCAACGAAATGTCTGCTACGTGATTTGAACACCAGAATCGAGCTACACGTGGCTTCATAATATTCCATTTTTATGCTTACTTTGTTACTAAAGCTACACTTAAAAGGAGGAAACATCGCAATAT